ACAATAAGAACGTTTTACAAGCCAAGAAGAGGAAGGGGCACAAGATGGGAGAGAGGAGTTTGGTTGAGGACCGAATCAAAATAATTGATAAAAGACTTCTGGCACATTGAATCAAATTTAACTTTGAGAGGACCCCACCCAAGTAATGGTACGGTGCAAAACAATGACATTTGGAACGATGATGACCACATCCAGTATTGTGATTTCCACAAAAGAACTAGACATTCCACCGAAGTATGTGCAAGGTTGCAAAGCCTCATCGCCCTATTAATAAGAAAGGTGATGAGGACACATCCCACAATAATAAATACCATCTAGAGTTTTAATTGTCTTAATTAATGCAAATTAACTTAAATAAAAAGGGGAGAAGGCAAAAGAATTTACCATGCTGCTGAAATAGAATATCATGTTGGCCTAATACAAGTGGCAAAATCATTTGAAAGGTCCCAAATTTCGTGGATACCAGGGGAGAAGAAAAGACAACCTCAAATCAACTCAACATGGACAAATTATGGCTCATTTACTTTCTTTTAATGTTTGGAGTGACTCTTGGTATGTTTTAGATTCTTGGTATTTCATTTCAATCAATAGTGGAGTGTTAGAAAGTGATGTACATGCCTATATAAAGACTAAACACAATCAAAATTTGGGAGATAGAGATGAATGAAGTTGAATGAAAGAAATGCTAAGGCATTTTGTTTTCTCTCATGTGATTTGGGAGATGTATGTTCTTTTAGGCTTATCAAGATAATACCAATCTTGTGGTGCCATCCATTCCTTATCACCTAAGAACAAGGTGTGGCGGAAATATCTTTATAGAAAACACAAAAATAATCCCAAATCTAACCCCTACATCAACCAATTTCATCTCCAACACTCATAAACCGTAATTGTTATTCCTGCTGTTTTGGTGAGGAAAAGATCGGACAACCGGAGGACTCTTTGGTGAATCGACTCTTGAATTCATCCCCGAAAGATCCACATCAAAAGGTGATGATCAAAAAGGATAAAAGAGATCCCCACCCCAACAGGTCAACATTTGGAAGGGGTCAACATTTGGAAGAGAAAGGGAGGCAACCATGACAAATTAAACTTGAATTCAGTCAATAGAGAGAGGCTATGAACAAGCTCCCTAAGGTGAAGGTCATGTTTGGAGGGTCAGATTGCGGGTATATGGCTAAGGACCAACTACTCGAAGGCTACACTGCACCCCCTCAGTTATTTTTGTGGTCATCTAATAGTTATACATGATGAGGATACTCGTCGTCGTCGACACATGAAGCAATGTTAATGTACTCTACCATGACACTTTTGATAAATTAGGCCTAACAAGCACAACTCTGACCACTCTAAACACCCTTGTTGGGCTTAATAGGCGATATAGTCGAAGTTGAAGTGATCAAGTCATCACTCCAATAGTAACAAATAAGGAAACACCAGCAAGTGAATACGTTGCCTATAGAGTCCACTAGGGGTGGGCGTTTCGGATTTCGGTTTCGGTTTTTTGATTTTTAAAAAATTAAACTATTCGGTTTAACAATAGAGTTTGATTCAGTTTCCGTTCAGTTCGGCTTCGATTCGGTATTCATTTCGATTTTGGTGGAAGTCCACTATTTGAACGTTTCCTTTTTTGCCTGACTGATTGTTCAGTTGGCTCACTTGGAGTGCTACTTGAAGTGTTTTGTTGATGACAAGATGAAGAATCATCCATCTGCATAGTTAATATTTGAAAAATAAGAATTATTAAAAGACCAAATGTTGGGACTTACGACTTAGAGTTGAGGTTTGAGGACTTGAGGAGTTGAAGTTATTAATTATTATAATATTTATGTATAATACTAGCATTTTGTATGCGCGATGCGCCAAATTTATGCCCAACATTAAAAAATTGATAAATATAAATAATTAGTTCAAATTATATTTTGCAATTCCAAGAAATAAATTTTAATAATCGTATTTGAAAACTATAGAGATGAACACAATTTATATTTTGTTTATTAATAATGTAAACAATTTTGATATAATTTATCCTTTATTTTTACAATAAATAAATAAAATATCTATAATACTAATCTAGTACCCGATCACATATATCGGTGCATGTGCATGCATATATATATATATATATATATATATATATATATATATATATATATAGAAGGGATCAGGTGCATTTGTTGCTTCCCGTGCGGATGTGCGGTGGATTAATGTGCGTGAGGTTTATACTTAATGTGCTTGAGATTTGTACTCAATGTGCCTGAGATTTGTACTTAGTGTGCGTCATGTTAATATGCGTGAGTTTTGTATTTAATGTGCCTAAGTATTGTGTTTAATGTGCGTGAGATTTGTGCTTAATGTGCGTGCGTATTTTAGAATTACGAGCTCAGAAGGAAGCAGAACAGAAACTCACACACATTAACGCCCAAGCTTCTTGTTACTTCTTCCTTCAATTTGGCCATGGATTCTGGATTATTAGCTACCTTCAGTGCAGTTGAATGTTTATATAAATGACGCACGCACAGTAAAATTTGCACAGCAGCTAAGTGTGGATTTCTATTGTATTATTTCCATAATTTTTAACCACCATAGCCCGCCTCCGCATCATCATCATCAGGGAGGGGGCAAATGGCTACTGGGGATGGGGAAGAAGCTGACATCAATATTTTCTGCTGCATTTTACACATTCACGCACATTAAGTACAAATCTCAGGCACATTAAGCACAACACTAACGCACATTGAGTACAAATCTCACGCACATTAATCCACCGCACATTCGCACGGGAAGCATTCACCGCACGGGAACCTTTCACTATATATATATATATATATATATATATATATATATATATATATATATATATATATATATATATATATATATACTAGTATTTGTCCCGTGCGATGCACGGGATGTAAATTAAAATGTGTATTAATTGTGTGGATGTTATGTTATAAATTGTATGAACTAATTCGGTTATAATTTATAATATATAAATTAATTGTTTTTGGAAATTGAACAGAAAAAAAAAAGATGTAAATGGTATATTATAAATAGTTGAAATTAATGTTATGGTATTAAAAAAGAAACCTTTACAAAATTAAAAATTATTGAAAACTTAATGATATACAACGTTAGTGGTTGATGTAATAGTTGTACTTGAGTCTTTTACTATCAATAATTTCAGACCATTTGGATTGTTAACTCTAGATGCAGCCACATACAACTGATCATGTACAAAAACCATGTACAAATTACCAATTTTTCATCAATTTTGTTTTGGAATGCAATGGGTTTTACTTAATTGATTTGTGCCTAATTTTTAAGTTGACTTCATTTTTAAAGTTTGTACCATTGCTCAGCTTTCTAAAAATGCACTAATTCACAGCATACTCAATTTGGAAAATTAACTTCTAAGATTTATAAGTTGAGTTCCTTATTCTTGACTGTGTTAACTTATAAATTCGAAGTTAATTTAAATATAATTTAATTTATTATTTTTATACAGGAGTAAATAATAATTATAAAATTATATTTAAATTGCATATTGAATCAAAAAAAAAAAAAAAAACACGTACTGACCTAGTTAATATTTTTCTCTTCGGTCAATAAGAAATGTAAGTTCAAAAATATTTGTTTACCCTTTAATTTAGAAGTTAATCATAGTTAAATTGAATTATATAAATTAATATAAAGTGATTTCAATATATTCGTAAACTATTTCTATTTCAATTTCTCAATATAAATAAAATTAATTTTTTACAACCATTGAAAACAGTTCTCTAAATTTATCATTACTCAAATATTAATGACTATTATTCACCATGACGGTCACCTTTTTTAATTTTATAAAGAAGACCCAATAATTTAAAAAAATACAATTATAATTCTATTCATACATACACATGCATAAATTTTTAAGAAAAAAAAATGTTTAATTGGATGAAAGCAATATAGGCCCGTTTACAATATACAATCTAATTCAATTTGAAATTTATTTCCGTACTATATAGAAGGACTTTTTGGGACCAAAATTAAATCTTTTCTCTTTAAGTCCAACTACTTTAATAAATCAAACCCGACCACAACATAACCCTAACACTACATATAAAAAGCACTAAACGTTTGGCATTCTTCATTAAGTGGATACCTGAGACCGTCTGTCATTCTCTTCTCTCTTCCGCTACAACTCAAGATTTTCTTCTTCAGCAACTATCCATTGCTAAACTTTGTTCACTCAACCGTCTCGTATACTTACTTTGTACATGATCTTGATTTTTGATAGGTCATATTGGTCCGTCCAAGATAAGTAACTTCTTTATAATAATCTTCTTTAAATTCATTATCTAAAAACAAATAATTAAATAAATATTATACGTCCAAAGTATACTATATAATTAAATTTCATGATATAATAATTACTAAATAGATTACTAATTAAATAACAATATATTTATACATATTTATTTATACAGATAAAAAAAAGAATACTTACAAATTCAATTAAATGTGTACCGTATACATTAGACGTATATGTATATATCTAATGTATATCATCTATATATATATATATATATATATATATATATATATATATATATAATCGGAACTATCTAGAAGGCAGATGTATGCTTTCCTTTGCTCATCCAGTCATTCGTGTACTATCTCTCGCTGCCTCTCGAGACTTGTCAGAGTATACGATGGTAAATATTGTGTAAAATTTCTATCGCTTTGAGTGTTGATTTTAGAATTAATACGAAGATGCTCAGATGAAATATTTAATGTATAAGAAATTATTATACACATCATGACATCAACATTATAAAATTATATTTAAAATATTCAGAATTTGAAGAAAATAAATTACAACACTAAATATATATATATATACAGTAATGCTATACAGGTGTATTGAATTAGAGATGGACAACCAATATATATATATATATATATATATATATATATATATAAAGTAATATTAGTGTAATAAAAATAGAGAGAAGGCTGTAGAATCGCCATTCACCATTGTATCATCTCTCTCGCTCGGACTACCAAATTACGCCTAAAATCCATCACCTTTTCTGTTCTTTCACTCTAATATACTTGAAACACCGGATACTTGAGGTCGCAGATAGATCGAGCAATCCCAGTTACTCCATTTCTCCAATTTCGAACACGATCCTTATATGTTCTATGTTGAGGTCCACATTTGTGCGATTTTAGTAGATTCACCCAATCTTCGCAACAGTGTATCATCTTTCGCGATATTGATATCTACAAACCCAGACTCATCTAAGAACGACTACGGAGGGAAGGCTGGGAGATCTACAGCTAAGTGTGGTTCAGGGCAATTTTATTTGAGTGTTTATTTACTGATTTTCTCGTTTGATTTCAGGCTAAAATTCATTTCTATGCTTTGAGTAATATCTCGTGACTAATTTATTTCTTCTAAATTGTTTGTATAGGGAAGACCGAAATCATGCATGTCTTCTGAGTACAGATCTGCTCTTTTGAACTACTATGGTCACCTAAAAACGCTAACGGAGTGAAGTCTGGGAGCTAATTGAAAAGATAAGAATGGATTAGGGCTTTAAGATTTGGGTAACTGTTTACTCAGTTTCTACGATTTCCTATACTGGTTGAATTTTATTTCTTATATATTGTATATATATAAAAGACCGAACACATGCATGTAAGATCTGAGTACATATTTGTTTGTTTGTTTTTTTTTTTTTAACTTGTAAAGTCACTCAAGAACGCACAGATCTACTTAAAGCTAAGTGTCGATTAGGGCTTTTTTATTTGATTGTTTACTTACTGATTTTCATAAATATTTAGTATGAATCTTGGATCATCTTTTTTATTTTGGCTTTATGTGGCTTTGAGAAATGTGTTGGAGTACTACAGGCAGAGTAGAAGTGTTTGAATCATCTATAGTTTAAATGGATATATGTTATTACATGCTTACAAATCTGTTCTTTAAATGTAATATTTAATTTGAGATGTGTTTATGGTTCATATTGGGGACTCTTGGCTCTATACATTTTATGGTGGTTGATTACAAACTGTTGTTTGAAGTTAGATGCTTTTGTGTATCATGTGAATGATCAAGTTCGATATAATTATGCACATTATATTGAATCATTTCAATTAACTTTGATTGTTAATAGGTCAGTGAACTAATTATCTTAATTATATGCAGGTTAAGAGAATCAACCACCATGTTGTGATGATAAAGTTAGCTTGGATCAATGAGAAGCATTGCATTTGGAGATAATTCGTTCCACTTACAATCTTATATGATTCGCTACATTTAATTTAGCATTTATGTTTTTGTTTTTTTGTTTAAGGCTATAAGGCAGTGGTTTTAGTTGTAACTCAAGTTTAAGGTAAAGAAATTATAGAAACACAAATGCTTTTATTTAGATCATCCGAGTTTACTACATCACTAAGATACACCGTCTACATACTTAGGTACATTCTAAGTTCCTGAAATAGTTCATATCATATATTCCATTGCACAGTCCAGATTCAAGTTCACATTCACCACTATTCCGTTTGTGTTTTTTGTTTCTTAGCTAATGCTCTTATTTTACCCTTAATTCAATATCCTTGTTTCTTAGCTAATTCATAATCTTATTCAATATCCTTGTACACATTTATCCAACATTACACATATATCCAACCCTTTTGCATTAATGTTTTGACTGTAAATAGCATGATCTATAGTAATTAGTATGACTCTTCAATTTTTATCTAATTAATACAGCTGTTCCCATTATTTTGTTATTGTTTACTGATTTGTACATTTTTTAAGCTTTTGGCAAATGATGAAAGTTTTATTTCTGATGCCATTATTGTACACAGCAGTTGAATGGATGGCAAATGATGATATTTTAATTCTGATGTCAAATTTACTTTATTTTCCAGTATAATTTTTGCAAGTATATCAATTTTTTAAGACTTTGGCAAATGATCAAGCTTTATTTCCTGATGCAATTATTGTACAGAACAATTTAACTGATGGCAAATGATGATATGATAATTCTGATGCCAAATTTGAAGTAAAATTTTGACAACTTCAAATTCTTTTAGTTTTTGTTGCTGCCTGAAATGATATCTTACTTTAAACTGGCTGATTTTATTTAATCTTAGGCCAGGCTACAAATGATCTGTTAATTTTAACCTCTATTTGATATGTGAAATCATTTGTTTAGTTGGCATTTTTGAGATTGATAGCTGTCGCTATTGAATAGCTTCTTTGTGTAGATTGTATATAGCAATTTTTTGGCCTAAGTTACACATTGCCAATACATAGTAGTCATATCTAGAATCTGTTAACATTTTGTCTTTCCAGCATGTTCCTTGAATCTTTGTTTATGCCATTTGTTCAGCTACTTTCTTGAATCTGCACCTAAAAACATAGATAATATAAATCTGTCATGTAGAAACCAATAGTTCAAACTTAGATAATGTTGTAGATGTCAAACAGGGCAAAATACAGTTCTGATTATTGTTTCACATCCCACCATTACCAAAACAATTTTTTTCAAAAACCAAACTACTCTAGGTCACATGAAGAGTTTCCAACTTCATAGTCACCTGTTTATTCTTTTTTGAGCTTTGTGTGGATGATAATTCATCCAGAAGACACTTTTCACTGAATGACTTCCATCAGTGTCATGTTCAACTTCGCTGTAGGATCTTTGAGATACTACTAATCTCTATCAATTCCAACTCTATACTATTTATAAGTGGTGAAAATTTGTCTCAAAAATATGAAATTATGTACCTCTGTTGTACACTTTTATTTCCGATTATTGTATACCTGGTCATTTGCCTGTTGTACCCTTTTATTTCATCTTCTGGCTGTAGGATCTTTGAGATACTACTAATCTCTATCAATTCCATCTCTATACTATTTATGAGTGGTGAAAATTTGTCTAAAAAAATATGAAATTATGTACCTCTGATGGACCCTTTTATTTCCCATTATTGTATACCTGGTCATTTGCCTGGTTTTTTTAGTTAATGTATTCCTCTTAGTTAGGGGTGCTGCACTCAGGTACCTTTTATAGTTGCTTCTTTCTGGATAACAATTTGTGTCTGAGAATTCACAGTAGAGTAAACAGATTAGTACAAAAAATGATTAGATTAGTTTATTAAGACAAAAAAAAAAAAAAAAAAAGATTATTTAGTATACTATTAGTATAATAAATAAACAGATTAGGTTTTCAAAAAAAAGTAAGCAGATTAGTATAAAGAATAAATAAATAAAAAGATTATTCACCAAATCAATTCATTTCATTGTGTCATTCATGGTAGGGTAGATGCTATTTATGTGCTTATGCTAATCTAACAAAGAAAGTAAAAATGCATAAAATCAAGTGTATACCTTTCCCATCTAGTAATGGATCAGCTCCTTCATCTTTTGAGTATATGCTTCTCCTCTACCTATAGTTTCATTGGTTTCCATGTGCTCCTGCAACTGCTGTGGAGTAAATATATGAAATGCTAATTATATTTCTCCCTTTATTTTGTTTTTTCCATTTAATCTATAATTTATAATTTATTTCAAAATAGCAGTGACCAAAAAAATCTCACAAATCTTTAACTCTTTTCACTCTTTACAAATCAACCCCTTTCTCAAGCTTGACAATATACATAAAACAATAGAACATATAGTATTTATTTATAGAACTTACCTTCTGGTTATGAAAAAACTTACCTTCTGGTCATGAAAAAGGGCCTCTGATTTGTGATGAAGCTTTTTTGGATATGGAAGTTTCGGCGGCCACACCTCATACAGACGTTTTCCCACTGTTTCCTTTCCGGCGAGTCTGGTATCACTGCTGCCTTGCATGACCTAGTGTTTGTATTGAAGACTGAAACTTTGATAGTCTTTGTATTGAAGAGAAAGTGATGTATATATAGGATGTTTAGATATAATTACTTCCCTATCGTTAGTTAACGAAAGGACAGAAATCGATTGGTCTTCAATGACTTTGGAAAAACAAATCCGGCTCTTCACCATAAATATTATATGGGAAAATGAAGAGTACCACCGGCTTAAACTTATAAATTAAATCTGATTGGCTTATAAAAAAATCTTGGGCGTAAAATAAATAGAAACAAAATATTTAGTTTAAATCTTTTTTTTGTAACCGATGAGCTGAGTTACACGTTCTTTTAAGCAAAATGATATAAATATTTGATACTCTTCAAAACGATGTAGTATTGTTTGGGCCGGAATTTTTTGCTCCTATTGTTTTGCTTTAATATATATATATATATATATATATATATATATATATATATATATATATATATATATATATATATATATATATACCGGATCAGGTGAGGACCTATCCTTAGGTGAGGACGTGAGGACTAATCTGATCCTTTCATTTAATTAAGTCAACGGCTGTGATTTAATTATATGGGGAAAATGGCACTTCTTCCCCCTAAGTTATATACTTATAGCACTTTCTCCCCCTGAATTATTTAAGTGGCTGTTTTTCCCCCTGAAATGTTAAATGGACATACTTACCCTTAAAATAAATATTTAATTTATTTTCCTTCTCTAACAAATTATGACAATAATTTAGTTCAAACCAAACAAACACTATAGCAACCAAACCGAAATATTCCAATTACAATTTAGAATCGAAACTCGATATTTATAGTTTATTAAAATCGCGAACCGAAACAGACGATTCATGTACCGAACTGAAAAAATAAAATACATTTATTGTTGAATTTAGACTATTTAAAATAAAAAATAAAATTTTAAAATAAAGATGGTTCAAAATCCCGAACCGGATCCAGAACCGCCGATTCACGGTTCAAGATCCAATTTTTTTTATTCATAATTTTAATAAATTGAAATCCAAATATTAGGTTCTAGATCTTAATCATAACTGGAAACTTTTAATTCAATTGCTATAGTGTCTGGTTCAGTTTGATCTGAACCGTGGTCATCCCTACGTATACGCGATAATTTGTTGGAGAAGTAAAATAAATAAAATGTTTACTTTAAGGGTAGAAATGTCAATTTAATATATCAGGGGGAAAAATCACCACTTTTAGAAAAATTGAGGGGGCTAATGTGCTTACCTAAATAATTGAGGGGGAAAAATGACTATAAGTATATAACTCAGGGGGAAAAAGTGCCATTTTCCCTAATTATATGCAATGAATTTAATTTTTCGTACTCATTTTGTTGTGCATTCGTACTCAGTTTGTTGTGCATTCGTTCTCAGTTTGTTGTGCATTCTGTCCTAATTTGTTGTGCATTCATAGTGTAATTGTTGTGCATCCATCCCACTTTTTTGGGCAGCGCATTTTGGTTTTGTCGTAGCCTTTAGATCACTCAAAATGGATGATCTGGATTAGTCCTCACGTCCTCACCTAAGGATAGGTCCTCACCTGATCCGGAACCATATATATATATATATATATATATATATATATATATATATGTATGTATGTATGTATGTATGTATGTATGTATGTATGTATGTATGTATGTATGTATGTATGTATGTATGTATGTATGTATGTACACACACATATATGATTTACCATTCACATAGAAATTTAATTAAAATATAATCAACAATTAAAGTAATTATATAATGATTTTAATAAAATGATAATTAAAGAATAGGAAAAAGATATCATAGATATATGTATATGATAATAATGATAGAGTTATGAAAGTTAGAATTAAATAATAAATAATAACGGTGTTAGGGTACTTTTATCTAACAAGAATGTGGTAGAGACAATTTTGTCCATTATAATTGAAGTGTACAACATTTAATGAAAAACGCATACCTTTATTAGCATACAAAAAATGGATATAAATCAAGGATATAACCCTAATTGAGACTTATTATATTTTTATTTTTAGATATGTATTGTTATAAATAATAATAATAATAATAATAATAATAATAATAATAATAATAATAATAATAAACAAGGGTAAATTTGGAATTTCTCCATTCTGCATTCATGTTGTTTAGATATGTAAGTTGATTTTTCAAAATTTCAAATTTACCCTTGTAGTTTGACCAGAAAATTAAACTGAGGACCATTTCGTGTTAAAGAAGCATAGTCGGGGGATTAAATTGAGAACTTTTGATAGTCGATGATCAAATTGGTGAAATCCTCATAGTCGAGGGATCAAATCAGTAATTAACTCTGTGAAGTTACTAAATTAGACTAATAGCATACAAGTGTGCGCACATGCACCTTGTTAAGAATAAGATTACCAAGAGTAGTCATGTCCAACTAGTCTAATTTCCATATCATCTCAGAACTACAATCTCGAGGAAGTCCCAAATTTAAAGAGTTCTACTCTCATTTTTACTCCTAAATTCTACTCTCATTTTTACTCCTAAATTTTTCTCTCACTTTTACTTCATAATGTGACAAATAAAGATTAGATATTTTCATCACGTGAGTTCAAAAAAATGTCTACATCAAAGATTTATAAGAGAAAGTAAAAGTTGGGCATAAAAAAATAGGAGTCCATGTTCTCAAATAGTATTTTCCGAATTTAAATCCTCTTTGCAATCAAAATAGAAATTATATGTTCTCAAATTCAAGTAAACCCAAGAACAGTAATTCTCCAGAATTAACTAAGACTAGAATTATCATTCCGTTAACCAACCAGATGGTTAGAGATATTCAGCAGACCCTTTCAACTGTAAAAAAGCCTTTGAAATCCACAAACATATTATACTTATACACTCAATATGTCAGTATATGTATTAAAACTAACACTGATACAATAGCCTTGTTCCAAAAAATACATTCTGTTTTTACTTTTTAGCACTGGAAAATCGTCAGCAGATAGTGAGATAGCTGCTTAAGGAAGACAAGATGTCGAGGCAAAGAATCAAACGTCTCTTAACACTATCCCAATCCCAACAAATAGAATCAATCTCTGCTTGAGATAAGAAGAGTTCATGTTTATTTTGACCATGCGACGGAATCAATCTCTGCTTGAGCAGCTCTGTACAGCTCCAATCTCTTTCCCAAAGAGATACGTCTCTGCATAACCGCTGGATCCTCATCCAAAAGTTTACCTAGTTGTTTACCCTGCAAAATTGGATTGGGTTGAATGTGCATATAACAGATCCCATGTCCTAAAGAAAGAGACAGGTTGAGAAGCAAATATGTGGTACAAAAATTCTTACCTCCTTTTTGCCTAAATCAGCGAAGAAATGATCAAGCAAACTGCGTTTGGCCTCTCGTACTTGACAATAAACAATAGACTTCGGAATGGAATTCCTCAAACTTGCACAAACCATATTGACATAAGACAAAACATTTGATCCTGTTCAAGGATGCCAGTGAGATATGGGCAGGAGAGAATTTAACAAAAAAACCATAATGGTTGAACAAATACAGTAATTATAAAGATCGCTTTGAATTTTAAGTGAAGCAATGTATGGAAAATTTTGAATATAATACTAAGGAAATATCTGCAGCTTACCAATTCTCCGGAGATAGGAGTCGTTGTATCTATCAAAAATTGAATGGGTTGGATTTCCACCCTTCTCAATATCTTGAGGAAGCTTTCGGAAGAAATCTACAGTCAGGTAACTGCACTCCATTTCAACAAGCTGTAGAGTTGCTTTCTTGCTTTCATCCCTCATTCTTTCTAATGATTCAACAGCCGCATTACTGACCTCCACTCTAAGAGAAGGGTACTGCTTCAACTCCTGCAGAAGAGTATGAATATTTCATCAAGATTCAATATGTTCTCTTTTGATTTTTTACTTCCTAGGATGATAGTTAAGTATGTAAAATAGAAAATCATTTCAATGCATCAGAAATCAAGCAAGAATAAGAAATAAGAGTAGGCTTGCAATGATGAAAAAAATCTCAAATTAATGAAATTATCAGAAATAGAAAATCAGAACTTGCCATAGTTTCACTTATTGACTTGTGAACCAGATCCTTCAGTATACCATGAACCTAAAATCATTTCAGGAAAAATGAATGAGCAATTTGTTGGTCCAATTGTGAAACTGAACTTCCCAGACAGAGCTATCAAAAGTAATAGAAGCTGTGTGTAACAGGATTAAATGCATACTGCATCAACAGAAGCATCAGCTGGACCCTTAATAGAAACAACTGAAGATTCAATGAGTCTACGATATCCTTGTTCAGGAGCTATCAAATGGGGTTGATATCCATCAGCTTCAGTTATAAGTTTACGCACATTCTCCATTGAGAGTTGCTTGTCAAATTGCAGTCTTTTTAACGCAGCAGGGAGTTGATTATCAAAGACATTATAAACTTTATCACCACCTGACCGGCTACAAAATGAAGTGGTCATTTAACAGAGGCAATGGAAAATAAATAAATAAATAAGTCAAGCATATGTAAGGAGATTAACACAAACTACATGGATGACTTACACTCCATCAAGATGTTCTTTGAAAATTCCATCAAAAATGCGACAAATTTCCATGATCATGTATAGCTTTCCCTGTAATGGAAGAGAAGATATAAGAAATGCTTTATATAGTGTCTTTAGCACAAGCAGTATTTTAATATGGGCTTTAAAATATTATGCTTAGTGATGTAAGAGTACACTGTACACTGTGGGCTGCACAATTTTGGTTCAATAATGTTCAGTCCCTAACAAAAAGAAGTCAAAAAGATAAAACTTTGAAAGCATTCTTACTCCGGCATCAGTGGCAATGGGCTTTCCAAGACGGCTTAACTCAGTTTCTAGCTCAATGATAGTTTTGCTGATAAGAGACTGAAGACCAGGGATCCGAGACTTGATGACAGACTCCAGATGCTAATGTATTGCAAATAAAAGACAGGTCATTGCACAATCCAAAAATATTAGGAACTAACAAAATCAAATAGCAAAGGCACAAGAAACAGAGAACTCTTCAGTTACAGCACCTGACAACCAAGGGAAGCTATATGCCTTAGCAAATGAAAAACAGAGTTGTCCAGAAAATTAGAAAATAGAAAATGGAAAATATAGTTCTCTTCAAGTTTAACTATTTTCCAAATTGGAAAATGAAAACAAATACTCCAATTTTCCACATTTGTGAAGGAAGTTGGAAAACAACTTATCTATATTCTCCATATAGGAACCATGGGTCTATAGTGTTTTCTTTTTTATTTCTTAAAAAAAAATGCTAAGCTCCTCTCTTCTAGTCTCTCTTTCACCCATCTCCATCCTTCTCAAGCTCTCAGCCTTTTTCTTTTATTTCATTATCCATTTCATTGACCAGCTCTAGCAGTCACTTCTCCAATTTATTGTTGTCCTCAATGCAGATCTAAGATCCCATCTGTGTTCTTCTTTATTATCATTATTATTATTGCTTGCTTGCTGTACAAGTAGATTTCAGTGGTGGTGAAGGAGGCTATAAATTCCAGTGGTAATGAAGTACAGGTAAAGGTTTTGGTGGTAGGTAGGACTAGGGAAAGGGGTTTACTTATTAACTTAGGAGGGATTGTACAAGGCAGCAAGCGTAACTAATCCAGTCAGTAAAAGCAAGATGTATTAGGACATAAGTATCTGAGAGTGTTTTCTGATGTTGCTGGTAAATGGGGGTTAGATTTGGAGGTGAAGTGGCTCTAAGAGGAATTATTTTGACTTTCGCCTGCACGACTATTAGATTATTTCCACATTTGGTCCCAAACTATTATTTTTGCCACATTCAGAGAATAACTTTCATTTTTTGCCACATTCAATGCTTTAGACCATTTAGTAGAAAATAGCCAAAATGTGTCAATTTTCAGTTCAAAACCATACCGGCTTGAATACTTCAATGCTTTAGGGAAGAAAACATATGATTTTGAACTAGAAATACAATGGCATTCCAATGGTTATTTTCCAAAATTTCGTTAGGAAGACTAAATGCGGAAAAAAAAAAAAAAATAGTGTACAAATGTGACAAAAATAGTACTTGGGGACTAAAGGTGGAAGTAATCTAATAGTCGCAAGACAAAAACTAGAAATAGTTACTATCAGAGTGTGTTTATGGTAGTGGAGGCAGCAACATTGACTTCTTATAAGATCTTTATTTTTTTTTATTTTCCATTTTTTGTTGTACAAGTATTTTGTTTACAGAACTCGGAAACAGTTTATGAACATGTTTTCACATTTTCTAATGGAAAATGAAAGTTGAGACAGTAGAAGAAAAAGTAAACAAATTTCTGATACAAAAGAAGCCCTAAAATGCTTCATGAGAAGAGAGTTTTGCAATAACAGTATGAAAATTCTGAAAACCTCATGAGAGCCAATATGTGCAAAGTATGAAACTACTCACTTTTGATAGAACTTTGCCAAGATGTTCTGAGCCCATCCTGTGAGCAAGATGCTTGTACTCAGGTGTACTAGAAAAATATTCTCGCTCTCTACGCCTAGCTGCAATCATGTCAACATTCTTGTTTATATCCTGTTGGGAACGATTGACAACACCAATCCACGGAAACTGTAGCTTGTATGCTTTTCCTTCCAAGATCTGAAAATAAGAATATTTATTTCTTATTAACTGTAATAAACACATAACTCAATTTTCTCAATTACATATTGCTAAATAAAAGATAAAGCAACAGACAATTGATCTGAAAAGCACAACCAAACAAACATGAATGGAAACAGATAAACTCAGCACACAGAAGATGAGTCTTGGGAGCTTACATCAACTGCATCAGTACCCTTGTCCATAAGATCAATCTTGGTGAGAACTCCAAATGTCCTGTCCCCTAAAGTAAGTTTTTCAGATTTAAAAATATTAATCAATAAAATAAAACATAATTCTAGGGAAAAGGAATATCATGTAAAAAGACTAAATATGAGCACTAGAGAAGACAAAGTAAGTCTCTCCATAATAGAGCCGAAAGACAAAATTTGAGGTCATACACGGCTAATCAGAATGTGTCCCCTTGTATATAACTTTACATGTAAAAAACTTATAAAATTCAGTCATATTTCTACTTGAAGGTGTCAAAGAATTTAGAAATGATATGTGTGGGTCCTGATTCAAAGAAGTATGCAGTCTACAGACTACAAGCAACAGTATAATACCCTTTGGGTCTACTTCACGAGAAACCTTGATTGCGTCTGATGTAGCAAGATCTTGATTGGCCGGAGAAATTGCCAAAATGATACAATTTGGCTGCAATATGACGATAAAAAATAAAGTTGAATGTTCCCCTCACATAGAAAATTCAGAAATAGTGAACTGTATTGATATTCAACAAACAAGTCAAAAGGAAAAATTACTAAATAGAACAATAAATTTCATTTTGCATGCACTTTCGGGAGGACTAGAACTGAGTAAACATACCTTCTCAACATAAGAACGAACCATGTTTTCAATGTCCTGCACAACGCTTTCAGGCTGGCCCTCTATCAAGATTCAATGTTAGGGGCGGGGGAAATCTTTTAGTCTTTAAATAAAAATAATCAATCCTCAGGGTAGAAAAAGCAAGTAGGAGGAAATTGATAAACTCACCAACAGCTACTTTAGTAAGTCCAGGAAGATCAATCAATGTCAAGTTCACAACTGCCACAGCAAAAGAGAGTAAAATGCAGCCTTTCAGACATCTGTATATTATTATTTAAATGTAGAAAAATGCAACCACATGGTCCCATTACAACTCCATCAACAGTTATTTAATACAGAACATTCATTTAGGAATTGCAATTTGGGAACCAAACAGCATATTTATCAAGGTTCATGTAGGATTAGAAATTAGTGTTAAATCACCAGTTTAGGATAAAAAAGTTCAGAAGGGGCACAAAGGAAGAAGTAAACAGCAGATG